AACAGCCCATAGTTATATAGATAGGTGTCTGAAGAATACAAATATGGTTAAAAGCACGAAATACAGCAGAGGGTACAAGAGTTTATTGCCGACGGGTTTCGCTGCACAGATCGTAGCATCATTCGCGCGAAGCAGATGCTCATCAGAGATTAGTCTTGATGATGCTACGGTCTATGTACCGAAACGCGTGGGCTGTAGACTGTTCTGCCATCTGTTGTATTTGTTGCCCTGAACCATGAATCATTCTAACACTTTTCTGTATAATATGCCCTACGTATGTTCTTTAATATTGCAGTATCTAGCGAACTGGAGTAAAGCTAACAAAATGACGTTTAGCATTATCAGTTAATGGCAGAATATTATGTTGAAAAATTTTGTATCCGTCGTTATCTACTCATTCTGGTGGTCTGACGTTCATGAAAATGTTTTGTTTTTATTTTACATATGATGTTCATGTTTTGACATATTTTACCATATGGTGATGCAATTTTTCGATGATTTCAGGAGCTTGCAAATGAGTTGCCGGATTCGTGGAAGTATTATGACGAAACCACCCTGTCTGATAGCATGAAGCGGGAACTGAAGCAGAAGTTGTCAGAGCCTGTTGCTACACTGATAAAGAAGTATGGTCGAGGAATTATGAAGTCGTATGCTGGCGAAAAGTACAAAGATTGGTTCGATGATTTCGAGGAACACGTAAAGCAAGAAGAATCGCTTATTGCCACTCAAATGGATAATTTTCTCAAGAATGATTCCGGTACATCCAATATCGATATAATAAACGACAACACTATGTTGTAATTAAGCGGGGCTTAATCGAAAATCAAACTTTTTATTAAATGGTCAAGCAAAGTTCGAACTGTTCGAGTCCAGTCGTTGTTTTGCGTGTATAGCAGCAGTGAGGGTTCTAAAATTTTAGTAGTAGTGAGGGTTCTAAATTTTTTGACGTTTTATCAGAGTCCACGGTTTTTACTGTTTAAATATCATGAACTCTTGTAAAATATCTAATGAATCCTTCAAGACCAGATTTCATGACGTTTTGCAGTGTCCCCTTGCTCTTAATTGCCTCTGTCTCCTTGGCATTTGAGTGCAGGTGCGTCTGTGTTCAATTCATCTGTTGGAACCATCCTATCTTAATCATGAACGATGTTTCAGGAGCGGATATTCCCTATGTGCTACCGCGTAAGCGTCGAAAGCTGTTTGCACGCCCTACTATGTCAAATAGCGAATGACTCCTGCAAGATCAGACCTTCTGGCGTATGGCCCTCTAAGCGACTCCATTAAATCATGTTTTGGATGAGACATTCTTAATTAGTGATTTTGTTATTAGCTCAGAGCTGTTTGAAAACGATTCAGAAAAAGTGCACGTTTAACATTAATCAGGGGACCTAATGGATACTCAGAATAACCTTATGATTTTCAAATTTGCGGACGGAGTTCGAACTTTCTATTTTGCATCAGTTAAACGAACTGCATTTATTCTGCTCAGTTGGTCTGTCAGTTAGTTTCGACCGCGGCGGCAGCAGTATACTGCGGAGAAAAGCTTCCATACTGTTTCAGAATTCTAGACATCTGATTTTTCGTTGATGAAAGTTCTCCTATATCCAGTCAGTACCCTGCGGACTCATCAGTTTGTTCCTGCTCGTTCCAGTAGTCAGGAGATGATGTTCCAGTTTCTGATTGGGTTCCCACTCTCCGTATTTTTCCGGTGCAACCTTATTTGACTGCCATAATATCATTCCACTTTCTGCCTCCGTACAAGTAGCTACTTTTTTGTTGAATAGTCTTAATATTCGGCAGCCATGATCATACTGCTACATCCCCTTCTCTCGGAAAGCGTGAAAAATATTGTGGTTGATTTTTCGCAATCGGACTTAGTTTCCCAACAGTCTGCCGGAACTTTGATAATTCGGGAGCGACTGAGCCAGTATATCGTTCGATGGTCACCATGCGATTGAGATGTCGATTACTGTATTTTGCTGTAATTTCACCACGGGTTTCAAGCCTCCTTTCAGCCGGATTTGGGACCGGAAACGGCAGTCTGTAGTTAACAAATCATTTAACCTTAAAGTGAGAAAGTACATGAAACGTGTGAACGTTTAAAGTAAACTTACGATGACGCAGTGTCGAAATATCAGTTTTCTTTTCCTCTCCATTTTCTATGAAATTCTCTGTATCACCTTAAACTCTTGGAGTACTAAATCAGCTGCAGAAACATACACTGCTGTATAGGATGGCTCTGCTGCCT